TCTCTCTCTCTCTCTCTCTCTCTCTCTTTCTTTCTTTCTCTCTTACATTTTTATATAATGTTTAACAATCGTATGGTTTTCCATATTTCTGTGGACAACCCAACCGTAGGGCTGATAGAAATACCGATCTCTGGACACATGTATTGTACGGCTAAAGGCGTCGGATTGAGACCGAAGTAATCCTATATAAAACTCAGAGCCAATCAATACGTGGCTTCGTTTTGACCGCATTTTAACAATCAAATCGTTGTATTTTCCTAACAATTGAGTGAATAATAAGTCGATAAAACTATCATTTGATTTACTCTCAACAGCTCTGTCTATAAGCCGGGTCTCGATAGAAGTGGCCATTCGCTGTATTAATTGCAAAAATTGTTTTTTTATAATAATTTATTTATTGATTAATTATTATAATACTTGAATTGTTTGCAAATCAGTTGTTGTCATAAATAATTTGGGCACCAATTTTGGTCTTTCCTCTAAATCCTGTAACGTATCGATTGTTTTATACGGATTTTGAATAGTGATCGACAAAATCATTTGATTAAAATGCGTTAGTATTAGAAATTTCGCCCCAAATATTAAGCCAATTATTATTAAATACTTAAATGATGTGTATTTTATAATTATATCTATTTCAAAATACAGTTACAACTTAATTATTAAATAAATTAATATTTTAAAATACAAACTCTGCATAAATAAGGCATGAAAAACAATCCATAATTGCCCTGGTAAAATATGATGTATGTACTTGTTGCATGGTCTTTAAAATAATATTAAACATTATTAAATAAAATTATTAGCAGATAAAATAAATGTACAATTTGTACAAACATAAATCATATAACTTACTGATTAAATCTAAATCTAGGCAATAAATACATATTTGTATGGATAACTTCAATTGATAACAATATAACGCATAAAATATACGTCAATGTCAATAGATACCAAAACTACAATGTGTTGGAAATAAACAATTCATCAATATTAGTATTTAATGGATTATGTGAAAAATTATTTGCATAGTTATCAAATATGTTGAAAACACCAAAGTATGGGTTAGAATCGGTGTTTGGGTAAAAACCACCCATAATTGCAATGGAGGGCGAGTTGTGGGGCACCAGTATGTGGGCGAACGAGTGGATCATTGCATTCAATGGATACATATCTAAAGATATTTGTACCTCCTATGGGAGCAAATAAGTAGAGAAATTGGGTTACAATATATTGTATGCGTAAAACAGTTGATGAAATTAATTACATTTGTGTAAATGTAAGTAAGAAATGAATCGCTGGTCTCATTGTAGCCGTCGATTGTCAGATAGGCTTTCGGATCAATTTCCACTGGAATTGCACTGAAATATATCATGTATTTAATTATCTAATAGTATATATAAATATTATAATTATAATTATATTTATAAATTACCCGTATTGTGTCCGTCGGACGAGTTCTCGGAGCAAAAAATAATGCGATGAACACAATATACGTATATCTGTATTTTTGGCCTAGTGTGTTTTATTAAACCAAATAAATTAAAAACATTTATCTTCTTGATAATTTACAAACTATTTAACAAATATTCATTTTAAATTACAAACCATTTGGAGCCATGTGACTGTGAAATTGCCCTTGATCGGAAAATCAAAATCAAATATATAAGGCTTAGTTTCATAGCCAATGTTCAAATCGCAATCAAAGTTAGCCATATGAGGTATTTCTGGAAATGCCATTTTAATGTTGTAATGTAATTATTATTATACTTTGTGGTTTGCTAAATTGAAAATGATATAATCAATTAAGTTACTAACTTAATTAATTGTTTAATGTAATAATCACAATTAATTAAAGTTTATTTATTTATACAAATAAGTTTAGATTCACTCAATATAATGTACAGTAAAATGAAAGTATTTTTATTTTGCTCCCATATTTAATAATTAAATTTTTTATTACGCGTGTCTGGCGTTTGACTATAGTTTCTAACTATTAATAATTTAATTTGTATTTATTAATTATTTTTAAATAAATATAAAGAATCCAAATTAAATATATGGTGCATAATATTAACTAACATAATATATCAAAAAATAATTGTAAGTAAATGTATATTAATTAATTGTAACAACTTGTTTACAAAAACATTATGGAAAAATTTAAACTTGGACAACTAATTTTAGTCTAGTTAAATAATTTATTTATTATAAATTTATATTTATTAAATAGTGCTCGTGAACTTTTATGTTCGTGAAAAATTAATTAGAGATAGCACAAATAACAAATGTATTAAAACTGTTTAAATTATTTAATTATATTTTGTCTATATAATTAGGACATTGTCCCTAAATATTGTATAAATTATAGCAATTAATTGTAATTATTTATTAATTATTTATAAAAACAGAAATCACATAATGTTAAACACGTGTGAAAAATGTTTATAACATACAGATGTGCTGAATATGAAGTCTGGATATGTTTTGTTGTGCGTAATTATATGCTATTATCAAGGTAAGTGTTATTTTATAAACATTATGGTCAAAAATAATTATCCTACCTTTATTATAGTAAAATATTTTATTTGTTATAACAATAGTTAATCAAATTATTGGTTATACTGAAAACTACAACAATTGGGATGGTAGAGAGCGGCATGAAGAACTAGATAAATCCAATGATTATCAGTATAATGCTAAACCAATGGGTAAATTAAGATATTAATGATAAAATTTACAACAGTTTTTTGTGTTATTTAAATTATAGATAAAGACGAAGTGAAATATTATACAAATTTATTTGACGTATGTACAATATAATAGTTACAAGCAATATAAATTAATATTAAATAATGTACAGTACTTAATTTATACATACAGTTATCCGATAAAACTCAAGCCGAAGCCCGTAGAGAACGAATTATAGGCCAGAAAAGGCGTTATTTTTAATATAATTAATTTATTATCTATTATTACAAAATGATTATATATTTTACTAAATATTTATTATTAAATTGTTTATTTACAATTTATTATTTATGCCTGTTTAAATCATTACGATAATTAATATAATAATTTTACATATTGATAGCACAATAAATCTATAATTTTGGTCGAACATTATGGTCCAGAATTATAAAAACTAATATAGTTAATAAATAATTTATTAGACATGAATTTAAATGATTATTGGCTTAATTTTAGAAATGTCAAAGTTTTATGCAATATCAAATATTATAACACTTTTCAAATAGTTAATAGTTATGTATAAACTACATTTAACTAGATGTACATGCAGTTAATTTAAAAGTAATTTATAAAACAAGGATCACACAGCGATGCTATACGTTAACCACTATTCGGGGAATGCATTAAAGATTTTTAATCTTTCACTATTATTATTTTGAGAATTTTAAATGTTTTTGACAACAATTAGTTCAATTTATTATGGCAAATTCATTTATAATCCCATTGTCCCATTGATATACCATTACAAATGTTATCCATATGCCATAGACTTATCATTGTCCATAGACTTAGCATTACCCATGTTATCCCTATGCAAACAAAAAACCACCTAGCGGACAACAGAACCGAAAAGTAAAAACACCAAATTTAAAACCAAATGTCACTATTCGCCCCACAGTTACTACTTCTTCTACTACGTTACCCACCACAATATCCGAAC